TGCATCTTCTGCGTCTGTCGAAAGGATGTTCAGCACATTCGGATTTGTTCATTCGGATATCAGGAACAGATTGGGAATCGAAAAAGAAGGGAAATTAGTGTTCCTCTTCAGACTTTATAACGAAAATTAAGAGAAAGAGAAGTGATTTCCGTTTTAGTATTATTTAGTTTACCATTAATACCGTTTAATTTTTAAGTTCATATGTACCGTTTTCTATTTTGATTTTCATTTCTTAGAATTATTTGTGTTCTGTTCTGTTATTTTTTGAGTGGAATTATAAAGTTTTTTGAAAAAATGAACTTTGATTTAAATCGTGATTTTTTTTTTCAAAAAAGTCAGGTGATTTAAATCATGATTGAAATCACTTGAAAAAAATCAAGCCGACCCTGTCCATATAATCAAGTTGCAACGGAACATTTTTTTGCAGTTTGATGGATTTTAAGATTGTGCTTGAAAACATTGGTTTGAAACCAAAAATATATTGTACCGTGGATGGCCGAGTATCAAACTCTTTCTTCTGCTTCCAACTTTTATTCCACTCGGTACAACTTTAAATACGGAACAGGAACAAACTAACTTCAAAATTACCGTCAACTTCACAAACAATAACAGTAACAGGCGGAAAACTCGCTCTTCCGACTCCCGGAGTTTAACCCCTTCTGCACTTGGACGCTGCTGTCACTTCACTCCCCCTGTGTGGTTCTCGTCTTCGCTTATATAGTTTCCTCCAGGTATCCCAGATAGTTCTAGAAATCTCCAGAACAGGTGCGAGACTTCCCGCTTGTCAGTGTCATATTTGACAGTAAATGGGGCCCAAATGGAGCTCCCATTTACTGAAATACCATGAATTTCGATCTCCCATTCCAAACGTGAGTACCCCAGGGCATTTCCGTTACAATATATACAGGGTGTTCCGTAAATATGTTAAAATATTTTAACAGCGTATTCTACTAGTCATTTTAGAAGGGGGTCTTCCAAATAATTTTTTTATTTGATGTCTCATTTTTGAGATATTTGATCTCCAAAATGCCGAAAAATTATAGTTTCTGTTTTTTTCTTTAAAACGGTTAAACGTAGAAAATTCAATTTTGGCACACATTATAAGCTAATTGAGTGCCATTCTATGGTAGTGTTTTGTAGTTCAGTGTACTTTTATACCGAGTAGAAATGTGGAACCCCTACTTTTGTTTTGTTCATAAATTTTTTGTGTGCACTTGAACTTTTCTCATCATAATAATGTATACCAAAGTTGAAGTTTCTATGTTTAGCCGTTTTAAAGGAAAACAACAAAAACTAATATTTTCCGCCATTTTGGAGATCAAATATCTCAATAATGAAACCTTCTCACTGAGACCCCCTTCTAAAATTACTAGAATTATACATATTTACGAAACACCCTGTATATAAAATAAATTGAGATTGATTTTAAAAGGTTGAAAAAGTTAACCTTTTCCGCAGACAAGTTGCAAGATCTTTCGCACTTTTCAAAGGGTTTGTCTTTTTGCAATGATTTTTTTCTGGTTTGAGGTGGTAAAATTTCCTGCTTTCAAACCTGCAAACGAAATGGGTTTCAACGCTTTTAGCTGAAAACGAACATCATGCCGATGGGCGACTTTTGCAAAAAAAAACCGCTAAAAGTAGCAAATTCGTAACGAAAACCACCCATCAATATGGGGCTTATTTTATGCGGAATTTGTCTCGAAAAGCCGAATTTGCAATCAGAATTCATTGGGATGACTTTGAGGAGTGCGAAGAGTAAAGCGTTGCTCTGTACGTGGCTTTCTGGCATTTATGCCTTTAATTTCTTCAACTCGGCTTAGGAAATGTCGGTTCTGACACAATTTTCTGTTCGCTTTAAACCAACAAGCAACATTGATGTGTTTTTCCAGGTAAATTCCAAACAAGAAAGTATTTGAGTTCAATCTCATAAGAAGGAATAGGAGGAAAGAAACCGCAATCGAAAATGAAAATATTTAGGTCACTAACGTGGAGCAATTAAATCCTGTCTATAAAACAAAATACTTTATTATAAAACCAAAATGCATTTTAAGTTAAGGAAGCTGACTCGTCCACTGGAAGCAGCAACACTAGAAGCCCGCAACCTGCAAATGATTAATTAAATTAATTGAAGCAATTGAAGCCTTTTTTTAATGACATGGACTTTGATTATACATGAATTCACGTGAATTCTACACGGAAAACAACTTACTAAGACTCAACAGTCCGTTGTAGAAAAATACGGGGCCACAACCTGCTTTCAACAAAAGTGGATACAAAGTGTTGCCCAGAACAGCTCCAGCTCTACCACTCATCATTGCCAGGGCCACGGTCATAGTCCTGAAAATGAGGCAGGATTATCATCAAGATAAAGACATGTTTTTTAAATATTCGCGAAAAGGTGGCCTGTATAAAAAAGCCTGCAAAATTTTTACAAGTGAACGATTTTGTGTACGACAATGACAAAGTGGGTTTTACCTATAAAAAGGCACTTTTTGGTACGACCAAAACCATCAATGTAGCTGAGAAAGTTTCGTAAATAACTCATCCCCTAGGTTTATTGCCATGTTTAGGTGACGATTTCGTTAAACTTTCGTAACTTACGAACGGCGACAAGCAACAGCATGAAATTTTCACAATCCATGCAAAACCCTTGAGTCTCAAAATGGTGAAAGTGCTTTAGGTGTAAATTTGGTGAAGAAAACTTTAGAAACCGTGAATTTTACCGACCCAGTAAATGTTGGCCTCAGATGGCAATTTTTATCCAACTGCGCTCTTTTATTTAAAAGAGCGCAGAGAGCAAGTAGATACTTGAAACATTCACAGTTCTTAGAAGACAATTCGCCATATAAATGCTGCGAATTTCACGCAACTCGCTGATTTGAAACCTGAAAAAACAATTTTTCTAGCTTAGTAAACGATGTGCTCAAATGGATGTTTTCAATCGACCCTTTTCTTTAGAAATTCGTACCTTCAAACCACCGATCGCAATTTGAACTTAGGCTTAGCTTAGGAAACACTTGACTCTAAACATGCTGAAAGTTTCATCAAGAGTTTCGAAAAAATGTTCACGTGGGACTGATAAACGCCAAATGTGCTCTTGAGGATTCAACTTCTCACAAATTGCAAACCAATTGAGCAGCGATAATGAAATTTTGGCTTCAAGCAGCTGAAACTTCTTTTTCAACTCTTGGAAATTCCCTTCCAGCTTCAAAGCCGGAGAGAGTTTTAAAAAAATTCGACTTAGACACTAAGAGAAGCACTAATTGCGCACTTGGGCGTTCAACTTTTACTTGCAATTTCGCTCATAATTGCCAAACCACTTCAGCTGCGGACGTGAAATTTTGGCCTCAAGCAGCTGAAACTTCATTTTCAACTTTCGGAAACTCCCCTCCAGCTCCAAAGGCGGAGAGAGCTTTGAAAAAATTCGACTTAGACACTAAGAGAAGCGCTAATTGCGCACTTGGGCGTTTAACTTTTACTTGCACTTTCGCTCATAATTGCCAAATAACTTGAGCTGTGGACGTGAAATTTCGGCCTCAAGCAGCTGAAACTTCATTTTCAACTTTTGGAAACTCCCGTCCAGCTTCAAAGCTGGAGAGAGTTTTGGAAAATTTTTACTTAGACAATAAGAGAAGCGCCAATTGTGCACTTGGGCGTTTCAAGTTTTACTTGCGATTTCGCTCATAATTGCCAAACCACTTGAGCTGCGATAGAGAAACTTTGGCCTCAACAAGTGCAAGTTTTTATTTCAAGTTTCACTTTCATCTAGGTCCATGGACGGAATGTTGAAAAAATGAAACTTCACATAATCGTGTGGTGCAGTCCAGTCTATAATCGATCAGTTTTTGTCCCAAGTGCACGATTTTTCTTCGCTTAAATTCAGATTGACGCTTCAATAATTCGAAATAGTACGGAATGAGAGTTTCTTGTTTCATTGAACATGGCATTTCAGAGCCGTTCTGCCGATTTTGTATTTTTCAGCAACTGGAATTGTTTGCACTCAAGAATTTGTCTTTTTTTTCGCGATACTCCTTTATACGAAAAACTTCGTTTGCTGTTACCTTAAGGTTGTAGGGAACATTTCCACGATCACCGCAAGCATATTATTGATCGTAACGCTTCCTGCTCCTATAAATATGGATGCCAGAATCAGTGTAACCACTGTGGATCTTGAGAAATACAGGGCCATGGCCGATACTCCAGAAGTAACGCTCATGAGAACTGAAAAAAAAAGAAGTTTAATCACTGTTCAGGTAGCATTGAAGACCAGATTTGTGGAAATGAGTGTGCAATTCAATCAATATTCAAGTGGGAAAACATCCACTTTTGATGATAGAATAAGCAGTCGAAATACTCTTACCAAACAATCGCTTCTTTCCAACTTTGTTAATAAGTCCGGTAGCAATAACGTAGGCAAGAATTGTGGCCACGCACACGATAATCGAGTTGATGTACACTGAATTATTGTTGGTGTTCTAAAAGGAAAATCGTCAGATTAAGAAGAATGCATGTTTTCAAAAGCATTTTTCAACGTTACCACAACACATTCAGTCGGTTCAAGTTCCAAAGTCTCGTTGGGTTTGAAGGCTGCGACGGCATCGCACAGAGCTGCAGAACTATTGTGAGCCAATTCGTAGTCGTTCATAGCCTGAAAGATTTGAGGCAGCCAAAGTCTCAAAGTGTTTAAACTAAAATTATCGACATTAGACAGGATTGGTTCAAATGCTGCATACGTGCCTGTTCATTGTAAGGCACTGAATAATGCACACAAGAATGATCTTCGATCTGTATGGTCGATGGAATAGAGGCTTCAGTTGCTGCCAGCCCTCTAAAAACGCTTTCGACTTGCTACGATTTGCTGTTACTTTGCCGTATTTGTTGCCGGAGTTGAGTTCAATTTCATTTTGAAGCGACTTTATCTAAAAGAATTAATTCGGGGTCATTGTGAATTCGAGAATTTTCAACTTTACATTTTTTGGGAGTGGGATTTTAAAGCGCTTCATCAAAGTGGTTCTTGAACAAGCTTAGGCTTAATCGCTTCAGATCGTTTGCGCGGCTCAATAATTTATGCGGCTTTGGGGAGGGAAGTTTTTCGCATGTCAGCAACCTTTAAAACTGTTGTCTGCTTTGGAGATCCATACGGGCCAAAACTAGATTTTTTTTTTAAATTCACATTTTTCTTCAGTCCATAATATTGATAATCGTTGCAATTTCACATACAACCAAACATTGTTACTGGGTTTTCTAGCTTTCTGCAAGCGGCACATTTTGCAAGAAAGTGTAAGTTTTTGCCAAATTTTAACTCGGTTTCTTAAGGTAAAGAAGATTTTTAGAGCGTCTTAAACGGACAAATAATTTTTGGAGCAAGAAAAAATTTACTGCTTTCGGCAGGATTCGTTTAAGCTAGGCCTGAGTAAGACTGTGTTGAGTTGCGTTTATGAGTTGTTGCCCCTCTCTGAGTTAATGAGTTTTATTTAACTCATTGGTTAATGGGTTTTAACTCATGGCCGATGACGGAATTTTAACATCTAACAAAAAAAGTTGTCAACATATTGCTTTTGCGCATACAATTGATTGAAATTATTTGGTCTAAAACGGGAAAATCCGGAAATTTAAAAAAAACTTAAACAATTTTCAGAGCGATGAGGGTGACGAATTTTCCAAATATTGATTATATGCTTTTGATTTCTCTGGTCGTTTTTTGAGGAATCCCAAATTTTGTTGAAAAAAAACAAGACAACTTTGTTTCGATTTTTTGTTGTTGTTTTGTTCAAAATGCAAAGCTGCAAAAGGTTCGATGAAAAAATTTACAAAGTTGTTCAGGAGCCGAGCGCTCCAATAAAATTTATTTTATAATTTTCACAGAAAATACCTGAAGATTGTCAGTATTTTAAGTGAAACTAAAAATAATACGTTTTTTGCGTAGTAATAATTGCTTAATAGAAACTTTGCTAAAACTGAAATGACCTGAAATTTAAAAGAAAAATCTTCATAGCGATGAGGGTGGCGAATTTTCCAAATAATTTTCTGGAAACTTTTGCTCTCTAGCCGTTTATTCAAGATAATCTTAATTACTTTCAGTAAAGAAACTGGATAAAATTATTTGGTTTTTTGTGCCAGGGTCGAAGCTGAAAAGAGTTTTCTAAAGTTCCCTGCAAGCCGATGAATGAAGCGAATTTTCCAGCAAAAGTAATGTTGTCATTTTTGGCTGAAAAGAGGAAAATCATCAGAAAATAATGGGTTTTTTGCGTTTTCTATTAAAAACTTTTAGTTTTGTGATCGGTTTTAGAGAAAATCTTAAAGATTTTCGGGAAAAAACGGGAGAAATTTATTTTCGGTTTTGTCCCGAATTTGAGGCTAAAATAAGTTTTTCTAAAATTCCTACAAAGCTATAGATTTATCTTGTAATTTTTCGAATAAAATACCTCCAGATCGTCAGTATTTTAAAGTGAAACTCTACAAAATAGAGCGTTTTTTAGGGGAACGTAAAGCGAAAAAAATCAGTCAAATCTAAAAAACACATTTTTTAACAAACTCTACAGTCTTCAGAGGAATTGAGGTAACGAGATAATTTTCCAAATAATTTAATATAAACTTTCGCTGATTCAATTCATCTTTTCAATTATTTGATTTTTGTCCCAAATTCGAAGCTGGAAAGGGATTTTGAAACTTTTTACGATGGGACGAAGAACGCAAGTATTCTAATAAAATATATTTCATCATGTTTTTGCGAAAAGTACCTGAAGATTGCCAGTATTTTTAAGGATTTTTTTTTAAAAATTGAGCATTTAGAAAAAAAGTAACTGCTAAAACTAGAAAATTCTGAAATTTTGAAAAAATGTTGAAAATATTATGGATAAAGGGCCCTTAAAATAACTCCAAAAACAAGTAAAAAGAGTAATCAACATTTTCCCTGCAACGGAACTGAGTTACTGCGCCGGTGCGTTGGGTTGGCGCACCAAGCCATTTGCGTAGCACTGCGCCAACTCCTAAAAATTCATTGAGTTACCCAGGCCTAGTTTAAGCCGCGAAAAATCCCTTTATTTATTAAGATAGCACTAATTTGAATTTAATTAAGAAATAAATTCAAAATTATCTTAAACGAGGCGATTTTATGAAAAAATTTAAAAAAATTGAGGTCCCTTTAGTAAGTGTTTTTTAATAAGAAATTGCCGTGGGATTCAAGCAGACAAAATGGGTTTTATTCGATTATTTCTAATGTAAAAAATGTTCCCTTTTATTTTGCAATAAATCTTCACCCCTTTATCGATTGATTGAAAATATGTTCCATTTTGCAGGATTTCCGAAAACTTTCAACAGAGTTAAGCAAATTTCCTTTCACTTACCGGAAAGGTTTCCTCAGGTTGGCCCGTATTCATGCTGTAGATTTTCTTGAACACTTTTAAGGCCTTTTCGTTTTTGCCGGTAGTCATCAGGAATTTCGGGCTTTCCGGCAGAAATAGAAATGCGATGGCGCTTGTGAGCGGCACAAAAGCGCAAATGAACAGGTAGATATTCCAGGAATGTATTACTGCAGACGAAATATAAAAAAATAAATGAAAAAAAAACCAGTTTTAAGCAATATTTACCGAAAATGTCTCCCAAATTGATTCGGATGTTCAGTGGTAGAATGTAGATGGCCAGCACAGGCAAGACCAGAGTTCCTGCACTGTATATTATACCAAGGAGGAATTGGGCTTTGCCTCTCTGTTTCGTACAATGCAATTCTGATAAATATGTGGTGATTGCGGAAAATGGACCATTAATTCTGAAAAAAAAACAGAAAATTTACCGTTTTTCGACATAAAAACACGGGCAAAAGGTGATACTTTGATGACAACTTTTACAAGAAAAATATCGCATTTCGAAAAGTGACGAGATTTTTTAGTTTAAATATATTTTTTTGGTTATTATACGGTTTGGTAAATTTTGAAAGCATTTCCAAGAGAAGGGAGTATTTTTCATTGCAACTACTTATCCACTTACTTTGCAATATGACAAATTCAATAAGAGAATACTTCTAATTTATAAAGTTACTAGAAAAAGCGTCCAATTTTCATATTTTCGGGAAGCAAAATGGAAGTAAAATTAAATCAAGCATTTAGAGTTGAGAAGAAATGGAGATCAAAGAGAAAAAAGTACAGGCGACAAGTCGCTTCGACGGGAAAGAAGACTAAGGAAAACGATTTTTGGGCTCTTAAAAGAGAAATATCAGGAAAGTCACCTTCAATTCAAAAGAGAAGAAAGAACGAGAGTAAGGCCTTTCAGAACCCGAAGTAAAGTATCCGGAGCAAGAAAATAATCAATTAAAACATGAAAGTGTATTGAACGCATTGATGAATATCAGGGAAAAGTTTGAATCTACATGTAAGAACAAACGAATTGATTTGGATAATGGTAGTAAGACAGAAGATCCCATCAAAACGAACAAACAGAAGAAGAAAAGGTAACAGAGAAGACACGCAGAAGAGAAAGCGGAACAGGAAAAATGGTTTTTCGAAGTCTCAGAAGAGAAAGATTAGGAATACTGCCTAAAATTCTTCGGAGAGAAGGAAGAATGATAGTAAGGCTTTTAGCACCTGAAAGAAAGGATTCAGGGCAGAAAATTAATCATTCCTGAAAACCAAAGTTGTATTGAATTTGTTGGTGAATATTAGGAAGAAATTTGACGCAACATGTAAGAGCAAACGAATGGTTTTGGACAGTGATAGTGAAACAGACGAACCAATAGAAACACACAGACTGAAGAAGAACAAATAACAGGAGGCAAAATGCTTAGAAGGAAAAGATGAACATAAAAACCGAATTTTGGATCTCTTAGAAGAGGAAGGTCAAGAAAAATCTTTTGATTTTTTCGCAGAAAAAGCAGAACCGGAAAAAATGGGCACCCATAAATTATCCACGTCTCTTCTTAGAAACACATACTTAAACCTTAACAGTCTTGAAGTGAGTATTTAGTTTACTAATTTAATTCTGCTTAGTTTATGACAAAGTCCTTAGACAAGTTCCGTTTTTTTCACAATTCTCCGATTTTTTGGCCCTACTTACATGAACCCCCCGAAAAACTTTGCCACCATAAGCATGGCAAAGCTTTGCGACGAGGAGGCAAGAAAAACGAAAATCGCATCCAACAAGTAGCCAGTCACCAGCAGCTTTTTCCTGCCCAATGTGTCGCATAAATAGCCCCATACGAATCCAGTCGAGATCATGCCTAGAAATTTGCATGTTCAGTCGCTTCTCTACTGTTTCAGCCAGTTATTATGTGCACCTGTGTAGGTAATAGCATTCAGTAAGCCTTTGTGCTCCAGCTTTAAGTCCAAGTCGCATTCGGCTGCTGGAAACACGTACGACATTGTTGTGGTCTCAAAAATCGACGACCATCCTGATGTAATTGATATTGCGTAGACCAGCAAATGAAACTTTCCCCATTTGGCTGCCACTATCGCCTTCTCAAAGTCTGCCGGCTCTTCGGATTCTGAAACAATAATGAAAATGATAATTCTACTAATAAACGTGAGATTTTCAGACAAATGAGCGAACAAAAATACCTGCATGCAGAGCCACTTTTTCTAGAGGTTCGGTTTTATCCATAATTTTCACCCAGTTTCAATGCATCAACGTAAAGGTCGGTACCATTCGATTGCAATGCAACCTTTCGCAACTCACTTAATAAATGCAGATAAAAATCGTCGCTTAAAGTAATGAAACGTTCAATAACGCAGTTTATATATAAACGTTGGGAAAAAACTAATTAGCAGTAATCGAGTGCTGGCAGTTTCAATTGAATTTGTGCAGTTAATATTTATAGAAAAAGCCAAGATTTCCAGAGCAAAAAAAGTTAAAGATTCAGGAATTTTATATGAGTTTTTAAGCTTCCTAATGAAAAAATCAATTGATTAGTTCCGGAAACGAGCCATCGGAGGACCATGTTTCATTATATAAAATTTAAAGTTTTTTAGGTTTTTTCAGTTTAGAGGAAAAAAGCTCTTTTACTCTTTTTCTGTTTGTACTTTTGTTTCTAGTCCAGTCTAAGAATGTCTGTGTTCCACCATTCTTACCACGAACTTCCAGTCACAGTTCAAGAGATTTTTTGAGTGCCGAAGCAAAAATATTATGCAACTTTTGGGTCCAAAAAAGTTTGAACTGACTGTCAGGAAGCTTCTTTTTTGCAAGCTTAAAAGCCAGCCTTTAAGCCTTTGAGCTTAAAAGCCAGTGGCAGAATATCGTTCTTTTACGGGCTGTTAGTGAGTTAATTTTTAGACACACAAATGTTGTACTGCATTTTTCGAAATTGTTTTTAAAGGAAAAAAATCGTGGGGAACTGAATATGAATTTATACTAAATACTTGGAAATCAATTATATAAATTTTAATTTCCTAATAATTACAAAATATTTGTTGGAAAATGGAAAATGGATGATATACTTTTATATCTTCAAGAAATGAAAGCAACTGGTCTCGTTGACCGTTCAGTTAAAACTTCCATAAGGCCAATATTGAGACTCAAATTAACCCGGCTGACAAAAATCGGAATTCTCCGCGATTTTTACGAAACTTTCAGAATCTTTAGACTCTCGAATCGACATTTTTTGTAATTTGGACTTTAATTTTTAACGCGGATTTTTAAATAACAGAGCGCAGTTGAGTAAAAATTAATTTAGAGATTTTCTCAACTGAGAACAAAACTGAGAATTTCTAATAATTTTTCTGAAATTTATAGGACCTCTAAAGTAAAGTGTCTTCTAACTATGACGAAAATTTGAAATTGCTACTAGCATTAGTTTGAAGGATGAAATTTTTGAAAACAAAGAGCGCAGTTGAGTGAAAATACCCATTTTGAGACCGATATTTACGCAGCTGACAAAATTGAGAATTTCGTGAACTATTAATGAAATTTTTATCACCTGTAGAGTGAAACGTTTTCTACCGATGGGGAAAATTGGAAATTGCCATTCGCCTTAGCTGAAAAAATGCAACACTTGAAAGATCAAAGCGGGGTTCCGTGAAGGTATTTTGAGATACGAGTGAAAAAAGCTGACAATTTTGAGTCATTATATATATTTGGAATTTTTATCACCTATGGAATGAACCCTCTATCTATCGGTTATGAAACGTGCTTGAAGATTGCTACTCGCTTTGCCTTAAAGACGCAATTTTTGAATAGGTGGAACACAGTTGATTAAGGACATCCATTTTGAGATATTTCAGAAGCTGACAAAATTGGGAATTTCGAGAGATTTTAATAAAATTTTTGATACCGGTAGACTGACGTGTCTGCTAACAATGGTGAAAATATAAAATTGCTACTCGCTTTATCTTGAAAAATACTATTTTTCAAAATATGGAGCGTAGTTAAGTGAAAACATCCATTTTAAGACAGACATTTACGAAGCGGGCAAAACTGAAAATTTTGAATGACTTGAATAAGATTTTCATCACCAGCAGACTAAAATGATTTCCAACCATGGTAAAAATTTCAATTTGCTTCTCGCTTTAGCTTGAAAATTGCGATTTTTTAAAAGATGCAGCGCACTTGAATTAAAACCTTCATTTTCTTCACCTCTTCATATGAATTGTTGATCACCTATAGAATGAAGTGTTTTTAAACGGTAGTGAAAATTTAATTTACTCGTTCTTTCATAAAATATGCGATTTTGCATTCACAAAACATTCACTTTGCTATCGATATTTTCGAAGCTGACAAAACTGAGAAATTTCAAGTGATTTTAATGAAATGGTTGTGACCCACATAGTGAAGTGTTTTCTAATGTTAGTAAAAATTTACAAGTGTTCCTCGCTTTTGCTTGAAACATGCGATTTTTCAAATTTGGGAGCGCAGTTGGGTAAAATCACCCATTTTGAGACCGATATATTTACAAAGCTGACAAAACCGAGGAATTAGTGAAATTTCAATAAAAGAAATCCTCTTGTGGAGGGAACCATCCTCTAATGATGCTGAAAATTTCGAGTGGCTACGCGCCTTTTACTTTGGAAAATATAATTTTTGAAAGACGAGCGCAACATAAAGCGCGCATTTTGAACCACTATTTGGAAATATATGGATTACATCTACACCACATACACGGTAGCCAATTTATTTAATTCGAAGGTTTTCAAATGCTTATGGTTACTTCATCGAAATATAATCCGATTTTTCATTGAAATCAAAGATCAATTTATGTATGCATTCGATTATATTAAATTCATGATTTCAGAATGACGATCGTATTCATTTATCGTTGACCTTTTATCAATTTTTACAGCGTCATGCAATCTGCTGGTCATTATTTTAACAAACCAGTACATTTTAGAGTATTTACAGTTGAAAGTTGCCGGATTTTCGGGAGTAGTCTGATGTTAGTGGCAAAGAAATTGCAATTTTCTAAGTAGTTTTCGAACTGTTTTGAAAACAGCTTGCACTTAGTCTTCGAGTCTTCGACTTTTATGGACATTTTTGAGTAGAAGTGAAGTAAAATTGCGCTCAATATCTCTGTTGAAGTGGAAGATTGCGGATCTTTTCCGACAATAATATTATTGTGGATTCTTTCAATGTCCTTCGCTTATCAATTTTACTTATTACAATGTGTTATCAAAATGTTTGCGTTAATCGCACGTGTTGAAAATACGTTTGATTCTTTCATTTCACATGGACGTTGTTTATTATAAGAATTTCACTAACTAAATGCAACATTAGAGATGTTAGAAAAGTTATTTCGGTAAATTTTTGGGCGAGAAAGTCTTGGGTGCTTTATTACAAGGCTCTTGGACTTTTTTTAAAATTTATCGACAAAGAAAAGTTCTTTTTACAATGGGGTTTTTAGGGTCAAGAGATGGTCAGAGGCACAATGATCATTTGAATCTATGCACTCAAACTGTTCAATCTGAATGCAAAAATGATAAACTGTTTCTGGCTGCTAAAGTTTACCTACGGACATATTGAGAGTGAAATATAAACAAATGTAAAATAGTCGCGCTCCTCCTCCTGGCTGTAACTGTGGTGAAAACAACAGCACGGTTTAGTTAATTTTACGCATTTATAGTTTCTAGCAAAATATTTTTGTGCAAAGTAACCAATAGTACAAAGGAATGGAAATTACACGATCAAAATGTATTAAAGCACAATTAAGAAAACAAAATCCACCTTGAGAGCCATGACGTTTATATCAGAACCGATTCCTGTAAATAAATATGTGTATAAGTCCTCTAGTCCTTCTAAAAGTCTACTTTAACAGCAAATATTTACCTATTTAAGCAAATATTACATACAAACATGGCGATATAAATGTGTTATTAAATCGTCACTAAAAAACTCATTTAATACAAACGTTTTGAGTGCAGTTTCAATAGAAGAAAAGCACACAGAAATATCAGAAAAATAATTTAAGCCAAGCAAATATTTTTCGCTGGGAATAGACCAACGAGGAGCGCTAAATTCGTGTTCTAATAGCTCAGATTCAACACTTCCGAATGCAAAGTGAAGAAATTTAAAACCCAATAGAACTTTGAGATTTATAAAAAATGGGCTTTGGATGATCTACACTTCAGATTTTTTTGACTTCCAAAGTTAAATAAGGAAGGATATATTGTGCATGGGTGAGTTACGAATTTTTAAGAAAGGGCGTGCAGAAATGTTTATTTTCGGTTCATCACTCAAAAATTTGGCAAAAATCAGGATCTTCCGAGATTTGAGTGTAAATTTCTGAGTAGGGCGTGCATTTTCAGTCGATTAAACACAAGGCTGGCAAAAGCCGGAATTTTGCAATGTTGAAGGGAAATTTTTGGCATTTTTAGCTTCTCGTATTTTGTATAAAGTTTGTGAATTTCAACCTGCTACCTGTTCTGGATTGGAAGTTACGACTCGTCAAATAAGGGCGTGCAGTTGGGCGCAATTGTTAGTTTTCGGGTCTTCATTCACAAAAATGTCAAAAATTAAAATATTTAGGGATCGAAGTGAAGTTTCTCGCGTATTCAGCTTGAATTGTTTTCTATAGGGTGTGCGAATTTCAAATTGCTGTTTGATCTAAATTCGAAGTTACGAATTTTTGAATAAATGCGTGCAGTTGGGCGAAAATGCTCAATTTCAGGTCACCATTCACAAATCTTCCGAAAATCAGTGTCTTGGTCAATTTGAGTGAAAATTTCCAAGTTTTGAGTTCCACATGTCTTCCAGCGGATGTGTGAAATTGCAATTGTAGCCGAGTATACGTTTTAAGCTACGACTGTTTACAGGAGGACGTGCATTAGGGCGAAAATGTTAATTTTGGGGTCATATTTCACAAATCGGGCAAAAATCAAGATCTTGCGCGATTGAAGTGAAATTTTTCGAGTTTTCAACTCAAAGTGTTTTCTATAGAATGTGAGAATTTCAAGTGGATGTCTATTGTAAATTGAAAGTTACAAATTTTTAAATAAGGGGGAGCAGTTGGGTGAAAATGTTCAATTTCGGTTCATCATTCACTAATCTGGAAAAAACCAGGATCTTACGTGATTTAAATGAAACTTTCAAAGCTTTGAGACCCAAGGGTCTTCTAAAAAACTTGAAAACGTCAAGTTGCTGCCTGGTCGGGTTTAGAAGTTACAGATTAGTAAACAAGCATTTGCAGTTGATCAGAAGTTGTTGCTTCTTTTATCACAAATCACAGGTAGATGGTAATAAGTGGACTAATTTTCAAACCACGGGGGATTTTTCAACAATATTTTGATAAATTATGAATTTAATTCAGCTGAATTTTGCAGTGTTTTTCGCTCTTCAATGCAGAAAAAAGTTGCGCTTCTAAATGGTCCCAAATAGTCCATATAAAGCCAGTATATAAATTGAAAGTCCCTATAAAACACTATGTTAATCCGAAACAATCACCGTAAAAGATAAAAAAATTAATAATCTTTGAAAGAACAAACACACGAAAACTGCATACCTGTTTTATCACCATTTTCTTGGGGAAACTCCTTCCCATTGAATTCTCCGGTTTCAGCGTCTCCCACAGTCATGATCGATTGGCCACTCAAAACGAAAATGAAGACAAAAACCCCACGGAAAACTCAACAATTCGAAAATCCGTTTCTAACACGTGTTGCGTAACGAAATCGGGAAACCTTTATCTTCTGCAACACATGTTTTTAATTGTCTTCAATTCTGTTAAATACCAGTTGAGAAGCTGAACTGAACTGAATGATACAGAAACTCACATTAACGAATTTGTTTAATAAACTGACTGGTTGTTGTTGCTGATTACATAGTACATATATTGCATGTCTTGATGAGCTTTTCGGAATTGGGTTGACTATTCGCCAGGATTTTCGGCTGGCAACTTGAAAATAGATTGAATTTTGAATGAAAGTTCTACCAACAAGCCGGAAAAATCGAACTTCAGATTCTATGAAGGATGTTTGTTTTCCTATTAATCAGGACATTTTCCCACTCAAACGAACTGGAAAGTCATGCTGCTAGTGAACTGCGCAATATTTTTTATAAATAGATTTTTTTACTTGTTTTCGGTGGAAAAACAGTGAGTCGCTTTTACAGGTGATTGAGAGTTCGTAAATCCCTAAGAAAAATTTAGCAAATCTTTCTAAATCGGCTGAAAAAACTTTTCCGTTCAGTTAGAAAAATTGCAGTTACGCAATAACAATTTTAGTTCTAAGAGGGATTTTTTATGAAAATCGTAACATTTTTAAGCAAAATGGTTTTTCGGACTTTCATTGGTTCAACAGATGGTTTTAGATTCCGACGAATCCTGTGATTAAAACATATCAGAAAACAGGTCTCGATAAACAACGCAATCGTTTAGCATTTTGTTTTTTCAATTTTCATCAAGCAAAGTTTTAAATTATTATTTTTTACTTGCAAACCCTTTCTTCTTTATTAGTTTAAAGGCAGCGGTTTTCTTTTTATTAGGCTTTTCAACCAGCTATTCAAGCAACTTTAAACTTCTCTTGTTTCTTCGTGTTTTCTTAAACAATTTCCCTTGCTTTCTTCGCCGGCTTTTGGCGTGTTTTTTGCTCTTTTCCTTCTAGAAAGTTTAACTTTCTGTTGAAAACGATTGAAAACACCTGACAGATAATTTATGAAAGCGATTGAGAAAAGTGCATTTCAAGCCTATACATATAAATAATCTTTATTTCCTATAGAAAAAGGCGATCGACCCAATCGGTCTTTCTGCCCTTGAGTAGTACATATATGTCTTAGCCTAGCTTATTCTAAAATTAAGTCCTATTCCTAACACTGGCATAATTCAATCAGTGATAAAACAAAAGAAAAAAAATTCCCGGCCCACAAAACAAAAAGGTCTTAGTCGTTAGTTCAGTTGCGTTTGTAGGTGTTCTAGTAAAGTATCTGTTGGGGTACGAAAACGGGAATGTTCTGTCCGTCTTGTTAGGCAAAGGGGATTCAGTATGGTCCAGTTGTGAGGGGTGTTTGTCCATTTTGTCTGTAAGTGTATTAGTCTTTCCGAAATTTTGGTCATGTTTGTGCGTTCGTATAGTAGTTGGTTGGAAGGGTTGTGCAGGGGGTTTTGGGGGTGTCTTATTCGTGCTATTAGTCTTAGTGCAATTTGTTCAGTTGTTTGTACGTATCGTTTTGTCCTTTCTGTTCCGTTGGCCATGAGTATATGTCCGTAGTCCAAGAGGG